CCATTGCTTACTAAGTCCATCCAGTGCACGAAGTTCGTGGGATAATTAAACGTGAAATCGAAGGCCCTTCATCACTTCTTTTTCTAAAAACTGAACAATAGTATGTCCTACACCTCTTAGAAGCCCTTTTCAAAATTGTCATGCCAAGAATAAGTAACCTTTGCGTGACATTACGTGACGGCAGAAAGACTCTCTCGGTCCTCAACTGATATCTTCTAACAAAATCACTTTATTGCATACTCTTCATCAAATAATTTTTCTTTCTGTTTTTGTGTGGCGAAAAAAAACACTTGGTGTTCATCTAGGTTGGCAGTCGAGAAAACGCATGAAATATCTTTTTTAACTCGTGAATTGCGTGCATGCGCAAGAGCGAGTTGTAGATACGATGTGAATGGCACACGCTCGCTCACTCGCTCGATTGGTCGATTCCTGTAAACTTTTTTTCGATTTTAGGCTTTTGAGTGCATTTGATAGTTTTTGGCGAGCAAAAAACAAACGAAATGGTGACCTCTGTTGCTAAGAATAGTGGTGGGGTGACAAAGAAGCCAATGATGATCTTAAAAGAGTTTTTTTTTTCGTTTTAGTTTCAACAAGCGGCGCCAGCGACTGGCAGGCATGCAAGGATTCACGCTGAAATAACAGAACAACCTTCGTTTTTCATAAAATTGTAATTTACAATCCTTGAACTTGAAAACAATCCGAAGATTCATTGAAAATATCCTTTACAGCGAAGCGCTCGGAGTTTACAGATGTTCAAAAGCTTTTTCTGCTACGGCGTGAGATTGAGGACAAAATCGATCATTACGTTTCGTATCGTGTGATTTTCCTGTGCGAAGCAACAGAAGATGCCGGCGACTAACGAAAGTACAAGTTAACACGAAAATCAAATAACACCTAAACAAACAATTTTAGCTACCGATTTTCAGTGAATTTTTAAAGAACAATTTTCTTTTAAGTTTCAAGACAATTTGAAGATTCAAAATACATATTACGTACTAAAATGCGAAAGTTATACACCACAAAATTGATAAATGGGCCTGAAATTAAATTCTATCTTGTTATTGATTCAGTACGTTGCCTAGCACGTGACTAAATCTACCCAGGCGGAGATCCAAAATGACGGTGGCAATCTTGGCTTAGTTATATCACTCAAAACTCGTTCCTGTTTGTCTCATTTGATAAAGAGGGAATCGTTAATGTTTTCATTAAGGCAGTATTGCCTTGATTTTCTAATATTTACAATAATAGACAGTAAATTTCACTTTTTATCCACATTTACTTCCAACCTTTTCTTTTGAACCAGAAACAGAAATGATATACGTTTAAAACACATGACATCATCCACCCTTGTCAAATGCAATAGCATGATCATTTCATTTATAATGCCTTCTTATCCCAACGTTACTTTGTTTCTTTGCTACATTAGTGAACACTGAACTACTGCTCGTACTCTAGATATGACAATCAACCACAAAATTCCCTAAACCAGATAACATTAAACATAATCCAAAAAATCATGTGTCAATTCACGAGTTTGCTCACAGAGCACTTTGATTCTTGGTCAGTGTTAAGGACTAATCAATCTGAAAGACTTTCCTAGAGTATGGGATTTTTTTTAGAACGAAAATAGTCCCTAGGAAATCTAAACATTTTGGCAGATTTGTTCATATTAAGTAAAACTTTACCATTTTAACCTGGTCTAAGAAGTTCTTTTTTCAGTTTCCAGCCGAATATACACTGAGCTGGCGCTCTAAGCTTTCGTTATCTGACAAATGATGCGGCGCTACATATTTACAGTTCATTGCCTGACGCTAGTGCAATCCCAGATATATTGATAAGAGCGCTTGAGAAACCAACCGCATACTGTGCAGTTGGTTTTTCAAGCGCTCTTAGGAACCGATCAGACTGGTATCCGCCTCATTTTAGGTAAAAGTTTACTGAGTATATATACATAATAGAGTAATCTGTTGAACCTTGTTGGAGGGTATCTGTTTTTCCCGCTCCCATTTTCAAAAGGTGGCGTCTTATTCGTCTAACGCTATGTTTACTTCTCCCATTGTTACTTCATCAGTCACAAGACCATTAGATGACGTGTTCGCGGGGACTGGTGATGAAGGAGAGTTGGTAGGAGACATGGCCATTGTGTCTTCTGTTATATGAGCGTGCGCTGAAGGTTCTCCTATTTCGAGGGACTCTTCATTTTGTATCCATTGCTACAAGGAAAAGCAAAACATTTTCAAAAGATGGCTTCTTACTCGTCTGACTCTGTGTTTACTTCTCCCATTGTTACCTCATCAGTCACAAGACCATTGGATAACGTGTTCGCGGGGACTGGTGATGAAGGTGAGTTGGTAGGAGACATGGCCATTGTGTCTTCTGTTATATGAGCGTGCGCTGAAGGTTCTCCTATTTCGAGGGGCTCTTCATTTTGTATCCATTGCTACAAGGAAAAGCGAAACAGGTTTATTACAAACGAGATAATATTCAAAGAACGAAGAAAAAGGGGCGCAATGACAAAATGGTGTGACCTCGTCGCTTTTACATTACTTGTCTAACTGACTAATTTACTACAGTGTAATTTAACAATTAAAAAACTAATTTACTACAGAATAATTCATCAGTTAACAACTGACTTATTTACTACCGAATAATTCATCAATTAATGATAAATGAAAAGTTTATACCTTGACTTCATCGTCGTACATTCTTACTCTCAAATCCATTTTTGTCTTGGGGCGTTTTCCTTCATAACGAACCTGCAATGAAATGAGTGTAGGCGATTCACATAACAGTCTCAAACTGTATTGAAACAGTTAAACCTCGGTACAACAGGCCGCTACGCATTTGGGACCTTCGTATATTGACCAAAATACTACAGCCCAACAAGTGTAAAATTTATGAACAAGAACCCTTAAATAACGATACCTGTTTATACGTTCAATGTAACTTATGGGTCTCTCAACGGTTGAATGTATGTGATGAACATAGGAAGCTGTCTTGCGGGACCCTTGGATGGTATCTCGTAATTCATTTTGATAACCAGTGATAATAGATTGAAAGTTTTGAACTTATTGTTTAGTTGTTGAACGGTATATAGCGCAAATGGAAACCATAAATATACGGTCATTTTGATACTACCGTAGTGGGAAATCATGTACTATGCTTGCTGCGTGGGTTAGCGGCAGATCTCTGACTGGTCCCTTGATGGGCCAGGAATTTGAGTTGAAGTCACGAAGTTGGTGTTTCATGACTCAAGGAACATTCTTTTAAAAACAGAAAACTTGGGAGTTGACTGAAAATGTCTGACAGACAACGAAATAATGATATTCTTACGTGCTGACCGTGCTGCAGATCCCCCACATAGCTTTGGCCCAAGGTCAGGAATTCTTCGTAGGTCACAGTCTCTTTCTTCGTGATTTTCATATCCTCTGTGGAGAGGTAAACCATTTTGTCAATATTGAATACACTTTCCTCTAAGTGCAGCTATTCTCCATCTTGACAAGCAAAAAAATTATTGCCACTTCGTATAATGTGTACGCTTTGCGAACCTTTTCCTTTTTTTATGGTAGGTTGAAAGGTAACACACACGACTTAGGTTTATTTTGCTGTACAACGTCTGTGACGCCACTAACGATCGAAGATACGTGATCTTTGTAATACGAAATTCATTGACAAAAGAGACAACGGAGAACGTTTTCATCATTTCAATGTTGTTATTTACGGCGGAGTGGTCCAAAACAGTCTCGATTAGAGTAATATCTGAAGCTCTTCACCTTCTTCGTCTGCAGGATGTTCTTGTCTATATTTCATCTGGAAGCGAAATGCTTCCAGGATAAACGCCACAACAATTGTCATAACAACCTGGTCAAAATAAGATAGAAATACCTAAAAATATCTATAAAAAGCTAAAAAAGTCTGAAATGTTTCAGAAACGTTTTGGATCCTCCTTTACTCATCTACCAGGGTCAAAGTTTACCATCTCTTTCATTCTATGATAATTTTTCTATCTCCGCGTGTCGCATATGGACCTAATAGGTAGCCTAAGTAACTCGCTGAAGAGTAGCTCTCCTAAACTTACCGTGTAGGCCCAAATGTGACTAGGATGGGATCTTTAATAGGCCACAAAACAGTCAATAATGGGTTAGTGGTTATGAGAGGACAGCGACACACACCCAGCAAACATTGACTTTCGTACCCCTTCCCCTGAAGCTATTTCAAAAGCCCAAGTATGCAGATCTTTGTCTAAAAACTTGTGTAACTATGATAGTCGGTGATTTTATGACTTACCATTGTGACAATGTAAAATAACATAAAGAATACTCTGGCCCAGTCTGATGTCAGGAAAACTATCCCTTCCTGTCAATAAATAGGAAAAGAAAGCTGATTATGAAAAGGCAAAAACTAATCCAGAAGTTGCACAAAACAAGCCGTTAGCTCCACCACAAGGTAATCAATTCAACCCAACTATGATGATGGACAGGAATCCCATGCACTTACGAAGGCTGATCCAACTAAACACCGTCGGAAGCTTATGAAGCAAGTGGAACACTGAAACAAGCAATCGTGTTTCTTACCATTATTATAAACCAGTTGTTTACCACTGTCAACTCGAACAAAGTCACTGCAGAGAAACGTAATAAAAAACGGTTATATACGATGTGATGACACTCTCCAAGGGAAGGGTGGCCATTTTAAAGAATTTGAGAAAATTGCAAGCATGAGGCGGAAAGGGAAGTGAGTTGGAGGGTGAGTTGGAGAAAGATTTTGAATGCTGCCTATAGCTGCCTATAACACAGAAACTAGTCATACTTAAACTAGATATCCTTTGTTCGTTATAACAAAAAAAGTGCTTCATTTGTGGTTCTTCCCTATTTGCAATAATACTTTAACCAGAAAACAGTTTAAAGGCGCTTGCCGTATGAATGTAGTAAATCATCGAAGTTGTTCAAATGATAGCCACCCTCCTTGTACGCTCCTTCCCACGAAGTGTTTCTGTGCAAAATAAAAAAAATACAGTTAGAGATGAGATACATTCAGGAATATCAAAATGTAAATCGTAACGTCTTACTCAATCTCTCATAGGTCTCTCTCTCTCATTCTATCATAGATCTAAAAATGCTGGCGGATTTTTGTACATTTCTCAGCCGAGGCGAGTAATAGGGACGAATGCTTCCGCCGCACAGCCTGAAAATCACTGCTCGACTAAAATGTGTCAAAGAAATGACTGTTCTGCATGATAGTGTGCAAAATAAAACTCAATGCTAGGAAAGACGAGGTTGTTGAGTCGGTGACCGACACATATTGGAGAGAAACAAATGTTCAGCGCTTCAACAGGGATTCGACCCAACGATCTTCCAGACAACTAGTTCGTAAGACTTTTAACCCCGAGCTAAAGGTGACTTGTGGCTGAACTGAAACCATCCAAGAGATAATGAAGGGAAATAAGAGGACAGACTGGTTCTTGGGTGGAATACGTCGATTCCACTTGAGCTATTTCTGGTTTCAAACATATGCAGAATACTACTTCCCCTAATGTTCGCACACCAAACCAGCCTTAACGCGATCGACTTACATTATATCACTTTCACGCCCAACATTAGATCGAGCTTGGTCTTCATGCGGTCGTTTCGATAAACAATCATTAGTTTGAGAGACTAACTGTAAAGAATCCATGTGAAAAAATATTCGATAAAAGACTGTAACTGGAACGGAAAATACTTACACACAACAATTCTTTAATTCGAGTCCAGAGAAGCATTCTATTCCAATGACTCCAAACGAGTAGTACATCAACAGAATGACGACGGCAACCCTGAGAGAAAAATCGTTTCTTGTGAGTAACGTTAGTGCTTGGGTGACGTTAGCAAATCGCATTAGCCTAGCAGAAGACGTTGCGTGACAAACTGTCATTCTCGCGCTCAGCCAGGAATAAACTTTCAGCAACAGTGCAACGCCTACATAACATTGGACAATTCCACTAGAACAGAGATAGCATTACCTGGCCATTCGAGGTAACAAGACACCTATTGTCTCAAACAAGTCACGGTATCTTTTTTTCACTTTAAAAAGTCTGCAAGGAATATTAATTGCTTTAGTAACATGAAGAACTCAATAAGATTTTTTAAGAAGAACTGAATACTTACAGCAAAAGTCTCAAGGGTCTCACACAGACGATAAAACTGAAGGATGTTGAAACTGCACCAATAAAACCAGCCACAGTTACAAAGAGGTCGAATCTGTGAGATAGCGTAACCATAGAAGCGTTTAGTTCACGATAAGGGAGTTAATGGATCAATGTCAGTAATTAAGCAACTGCACACCCACCCGACAACAGTCAACCGATAACAACTGAGCCAAGGTTAATGTTGGGTTAGGCGAGGGGTAGGTGCAAATCTACAGTTGCTCACATACCGACAATTAATCCCAGATTAAAGAGCTAATGATCTGAATTCGGGGAAAACTCTTCTAAAACATATTTACTTTCTTTGGCTAACAGCTGGTGCTGTTGGAATATGTAAATAACAGTTTGACATATTTCAAAGTTTTCTCCCACAAAAAAAAAAGAAAGATCTGCAATGTATCTATCCTTCGATGCCTGTTCACTTAATACACACAGTTGTGCACCGTGCGAAATGCAATCAGTGTCGATATTCACGGTTGTTCATAGTTTCAGCGACTGCGCCGCGTTGAGCAAAAATTAGTTGCAAGTCAGAATCTACAAAGACTCTAAAAAGTCAGAAACGATAGCCTTAACTGCAACACAAGAAAGCACAACTAAAACTCTGTTCTTAAATACTCACACATTCCAGCCAGACAGGAAATATTTCCTTAAACCAAGACCAAGGAGTTTGAGCAAGGCTTCTGTTGCATAAACTGGAAACATTAAAGTTACATTGCATATATCTGAAAGAGTCTTTAAAAACAGCCTAAATAATTTAAATCCAATACGGAACCAACTTACAAACTTTTACAAAGATAAATCGAGCTATGCATCGTATCAGAAAAAAAAAATTTAGGAAAAAATACATGTCACATCGATGAATCAACTCACTACAAATGAAGACTATATGGTACCAATGGAGCTCTCTTATCTTCTTTTGCCTTTCATTTTGAGGAGTGTCTGCAAATAAAGAGTAAATAAAACCTTTCGCATGGAACGCTCAACATATTTTTCGGTCAGAACAAATATCATCTATGCACCGATGGACAGAATTTCTTTATTTGGGTAACTGCCCAGCGTTTTATAATTGACTCACAAAACTCACTCCACTATTTTAGCCAATCAGAGGCCAACCCAACACGCGCCGCGGCTTTTTCACGGGCGTTTTTCCCGCTTTTGGTACTAGTCACAAGACCGGTCAAGAGAAATTGCCTCCAGTTTTGATAAGCCGCCGCCTCGTTGCGTGTAATGAAACACTTCAATTCTAAACAGATTTTTTAACGACATAATTGGATAAGCTTAAGATCAAAGAGAAGAAAATAACTTACTGGAAAACACAATGATATCCACAACAACTGTAATCCCATTTAGAAAAATAATTGCATCTGTTAAAAAAGAAAATTTCAAAGACGATTATTCAAAGCAGAAATTAATGATCTGAATGTAACATGAAGAGTAGCTAAGCATGACCTGAAAGTGGAGTTCAAGGCCAATAAATGTTTGTTCATAGGTCTAATTAATGAAGCTTAGCTATTACGACAAGGCCTCTAAAAACGTTTGAGTTAATTTCTTTACGTTTCAGCTATTGAAATGTCTGGAAATTACAAGACAATATTCCAAAGTGTGAGTGAATTTGCTAAATTCAAGTGAAATGCAATTCTACAATTTAGCAGCAAAGATTCAAAGAGACTTACAGATGACGTACTCAAAAACTTTATGTGATATGAGCCAGCGAATACCTGTAAAAAGGAATAAGACTTTTGTATCAGGACGAATTTACATATCTAAGTTTCGATAAGATAATAATCATTAATTGGCATTTGTCACAAACTTGGGGTTTTGGAAACTATAGCAATAAGGCGGAGGAAGCTTTTTAACTATGCTGATCGCATGAATTTCGTGACTTGGTTGTTTCTGGACTGGTCATAACAAATCGTTCACTTTCCAAGAATTCTCGAAACTTTTGTAAGAATTTGAACTATTTTCAATGGTTTTAGTAATTTACGAATGGGTTTGTAGGTTTAAAATCTTCAAGGATATTTCTTAACAAGCTCACACAGTGTTACAAACAAAACACCCCTTAAAAATCCAGGGAGATATACAGAAAAAAAATCAGTTTCATTTCAAGAACAGGTTTTTTGAAAAGACTGTCAAAAAGGCCACTAGAAGTGGATGAGGAGATTTAAGAGAATTCCACGTCAGAAAAGTTTACATAAATAACTTCCTGCCAACTGCTCACAATTCTCTATTTTACAAAAGAAAGATGTAATTTCTGAGATATCCAAGGCCAAAGGAACTAGAGGTAAAAATAAGTGTTTGCACTGTCGTTATCCTCCCTGTCTTGGCTGGACAATTAATTCCCACTTAAGTAGTAAATTCGAATAGAGTGTCGAAAGTAATTCGGATTGGTCCGGAAAACTTCCGCTACTTCCTCAACCAATCAGATTCAAAACTAAAACCAATCGCGACATGGTCACCCGCGTTTTCCCGCGCTTTAGGCAGTTTGCTTCTTTTCACTTTGAGTTCTCATTGGCTCTTAAAGTATTTTCCTGTCTTCTGATTGGTGGTTGTCGCTACTCTGGGTTTGGTTTTATGACACTCAATTCGAACACCGCCCTAAAAAAGACGATTCAAGTACACTGAACATGGATATTAAAACTTGCCTTTGAGTGTGCGGTACAAACAGGTACATGACTTAAAACAGCTAAACCACTGATCGTAATGTTCTGTTACCTTTAAGAAAACAACCACAGTAACCATGTGAGATAAATCATAACACGATTTTTACAGCAGTTTTAGCAGGTTTTGAAATTGTGTTTTTCAAAATGTTCTTCAATTTCTTTCGATAAAACAATAGACACATACCGGCTTCCACCTCATCTCACTGTTTTCAAAAACATTGTAAAATTCATCCTGGCTAAAATAAAAGTTGATAACTACCAGTAAGTATAAATATGGAGTCACAGTCAAACTACAATGGTACCAGATGTAGAAACCAAATAAGTTCTAAACTACAATTAAGCCGAAAAACGAATTACCAATTCAAAGCTTTAGAAAAACCTTAAAAATAATACATTTTTTGAAAGAGAACATTACCTTAGTTGTCCAGTGTTACTTTCATTTAGTGACTTAAAAAAAAGATAATTCTCCACATCAGCTGTTGGAAAAGTAACAATCTTTAGATTAATGACATTAATAATATTTCTCTAAAATATTTAAACCACAACAATAGTGTGTGTGAGTAAGATTTGAGACTAGTCCAGGCTCTTATCGACTGACTATCGATAATAATATTCAAAATATTATAGTTAACTGCGAACTCGTAAAAAGTAATAAACACTTTGAGCACATTTTTTACTTATAACCTGAAGTAAATTAAAGCACTTACTCCTTTTGGGGTCGTAATGTGACATCAAGCCTTTAAAAGTTTCCCATGGGATCCCATGTGGAGGCTATGAAAAAAAGTGTAAATTATCTTACATCAGAGGTAAATTATTTTTGTTGTGCCAGGAAATTTGTTATTGACATATAAATGACCCTGCCTTTAGTCAAGACCTAAGTTGTTATATTTAGTTTGACACAATAGTTATTTGGAAGTGGACTATTTCAGGCTATTGACTAACGCAGACAAACTGACAGACCACTACATTGACAACCTAATGCCTAACTTACTGACTGACTCATGGCCTACCAGTGCTTGTCTCCTGGCTGTCTGCTCCACTGACAGACAGAAGATGATCTATTTGACTGACTGACTGACCAGTTAATTGTTAATAATAAACTGAAACATAAATAACTTATCAACAACTTACATTTTTACCGTGGAGAAGTTCGTAAGCTTTTCTTATACCTTTCCTTAGAGAAAAAAAAAACTACCAGTCAAGACTTCAACAAACACACTTAAAGTCTGAGAAACTTTTGTTACTCTGAAGTGCGTCAGATTCTTAAGATTTTATTTTCCTCCCTTACCTGGAACATTAGGAAGGAGAATAGAGGGAAGAGAGAGAGATATTGTGAATGGTGTTGAGTTCACATCATGGAGTAGTTAGAATTCCTTATAATAACTAAAACCATCAGGTTGCAGACACTAGCCAAAATTCAACTGATTTGCCCCAGAGATTCTTACCTTTTATGAAGAAAGAGTTTTCTAAACTTATTCTTTACAATGTTTGTAAAGGCATCATAAACCACAGCCAAAAGCTGCAATGTTAAAGCAAGAAAACATTATATGTTTACCATAGGCTACATGTAATTAATTTTGTTTGGGGCCAAAATTTGGAAAAAAATTACAAAACTTTTTGTCATGACAAAGTAATGAGTGACTTATGGTCTGGCTAACTAACATTGTGGTGTGTTGAAACCTTACCAGACTCATGAGAAAGTAAAGAACAACTGCAATGTAAACAGCAAAGTAGATAACAGACCATCGTGATCTGATATATGCTGGCATCATTACATCAGGATAACTGTAGAAAAGAATTTGCAAATTTAGTGTAATTAACAAGAGGGAGAATATTTCAAGGAACTAGACTCATTCTAGCTTAACTTATGAATAACTAGTTAATTTCACCTACTTTGCTGTTGTAAGTAACACAAATAAGCTGATGAAGCTTCTCCCAAAGCTGCTGAAAAACTAATTTTGCAAAAGGAGACTGAATTAAATAGAAGTCCTTGGAAAGACTAGAAGTCTAATAAGCAGTTAACTTTTCTTTAATTGAATAATCTAGCATGCGAGTGAGGTGTGATGGCGGAAAAGAAAATTGGTCTGTCAAATATGTCAACATGTTTGATAAGTAGGTTTAGTAACTAAATAAAATTACCTCATCCTTTTCATTGTCAGAAAACAGATAGAACCCTGCAAGCAATAAGGAAACTGTAATGAAGGCTATTTTTAGTTATTTGCATGACTTTCAATACCCTTTGGTTTGTGTGACATACTTTCTAATTGTTAGCATTAGGTTTCATTCAGCCACGAGACATGTGAGTTACACGTGTAGTCAGAAGAGAAGATAGATTGAAGGATTGTTGAAATATTAGAGTAATAGAATGGGGAAAGAGGTATGTCATCTTGTTTATATTTGGATTTATATACCTAAACGTGTACAATCAAGGGTAGTTCTGTATCACTTAGGATATTTGTGTTCTTTAGATTTATCTTTATACACGCCCCGCATGTTTTGAGTTTAGGACATTTTGATTAGTGTATATTGAGTGGTAATGGCTTTTTTCAATTTAATGTACTCCAATTTTTACGAGCTTTCAAGTTTAATAAATGAATTGAGATTTAATAGACACTTGGAGGTTCCGTCAATATAAAAAATTTCTCTGACGCAGCGTTGTTAGATTGATTTATGTCAGTGTTGGCCCTATTACAGAAACTGTTAGTGAAATGTTGTTTCATAAAACAATGCTAAAAGATGGTAGATCACATCTGAGCCAAATGTCTCTTCAACTGTAATAAGAATGATTAGTAAACTAGAAAAACAATTCCTACAATCTGCACTCCAAGATAACTATTCTTCACAAATCATTTAATTTAGGAATTCATGGAATTAACTATAATCAATCTCAGAATTTGGTAACCAGTTCCTATTGTATATCATTCCTTCTAATGAACAACATAAAAGCTAACAACTGATTTCTGGAGTATACTTCTCTAATACTAATTTTTTTCTTATTTCTTACCTAACATAGCAAAGATTACCATGATAAAAAACAGCAGATAGAGCATGTACAGGATTGGGGGAAGTGAAAGTAAAATCTGTCTGAGAACCCTAAAAATTTAAAGTAAAAGAGAGTGCATGAATCTCATTCAAACAACAGGAAGAAATAACAGTCATTTCAGAAAATAGAAGTTCAAAACAGCCAAAGACATTTTGCTGCCAACGTCTTGAATTGGTGGATTACCAATCCCAGTGCTCTCTTATCAGGATATGTTACAGCTTTGTTTCCCCTGATTGGGAGGGGTACTCTTTATAGGATGATCCCCAAGATAAACTGATCGGTAGCCCTTGAACGGTGAACCCCAAAACTGATCCCTCCCCAACATCTATCTTTGAGATTGGTGTTATTTCAACATTGACCACGAATTTGGTGGGAAAATTATTCCAGGAGAGATTTTTGGACCCTGTCAATACTCTAGGGTTGGAAGAATAAACAACAAATTTATTTACACAAACCACAGTGATAATTTTAACTTCAATTTTGACTTACAGAGTGAGACTCACCTTCTCACCCCAGAACAGTAATGCGTGTCAATAAGAAAGAGTGGGCGCAGAGATCTTGTTACTCGAAAATGATTCTCCCTTCTCACCAGCACCACAATGGCTTCTGCAAATACCACGCACCAAATAACAACCTGATAGTAGGTGAAACATTTGAATTGTTTTAAAGTTGGATTGGTATTTCAGCAAGCCAAAAAATATATTGCCAGACCCATATCGATCTATAACACTTAAGAGGTTCCAGATAGTAAGAATCCCTGTCATTTTTATCAAACTAAGTACTCTCTCTGAGTCTCACATCCTTTCTAATTACAATTATAATAATGGTGCTAATTATCTTACTAAAACATCCACACCCAGTTTGTCTAGATAGAGAAATTTCAATCAAGTGTTGAGAACAATCCAAGATTACAATCACTCACTTGGCGATTGGTCCATAAAAGTTTTACTACCTTCTCAACGAATTAGATGTAAAACTTCAACCAATTGCAGTGTGATAGCTTGTGCACATTTAGTTCCATCTTCTTAGCATTCTGGTTGTTTTTAATTCAAGTCCTGATCAGCTTCTGGCAATTTCTTTTTCATTTTTCCGGTTGTCGCTGTAATTAATTTGGCTTTGTTTTTTTATACTTTCACTTGAAAAGCCCTCTATCAAACCTTTGTGATGGAAAATTAATGCATGTTACAACCAAAGTAGCACTGTAATGTACCGTGAAAAGCATTCTCTTATGGGAGAAGAAAAACTTTGTTCCCTGCCATTTCAGTTTTACAGCAAGTCCAGCAAAGACAATCATCAGTGAGAGAATCTCCACGGCTGCATGAGCCTGGTAAACAATATTGAATTCATTATTGTAATTTACAATATCAAATTATTAATCTTATATATATCAATTACCCATACTAAGTAGTAAGCCCTCTAAATTATTCAGTAAAACTGTTATTTCAATCATTGGTTGATACTGAATGATTTACTTCTTGACTACTTATAGAATCAATCTCTCTATGCTTAAGGACATCATGTTAAAACACAACTTAGAGGTTAATTATTTTGCATTTACCCAAAAATACAACTGCATTATTATCACAAGTGTAATCTGCAGCTGTAAAGGAGAGTAGGTGGGGAAGGTAGGAGAGCCATAGTGACCCTCAAATTGGGAGACACTTTCCCAGTATAAAATTGGTCCAGTAAAATATTCATTTTTGCATCTTCTCATTGTCATTTTCTACATCAGGATCACACTTTTGCTCTGATGAAGGGCTAGCGCTGGAAATATCAGCTTTAGAAACTCTTTATGGTGGCCAAGGGACATTATTATACATTAGACTTGCTTAGGGTTAGGCTAACCCTATGAGAACTATGAGCATACATTCAGTATACAATAGCATGTGAAGTTGATACGATAACTCAATATTTGTGGCAGATATTGGGTTATCATGTCAAGTTCAAAGTCTGTCTAGTTTCCAAGCCCCAAGCAAAAGTTCGAAAGTTACTCCCTTTATTCATACTTTGTAAAGCCATATGTTGTAGGACTTTCCCTTTCAACCCCCCCCCCCCCCCACCCCCGCACTCCCATAACACCTCTGCCTAGAGCTGAGTGTACACTTACCTCGACTGGAACACTCAAATTGTTAGCTTTTAGTGCTGGTGGTTTTTCAGTGAGTCCCAAGGCAAGAAGAATCAATGCAGCCATCAGCTCCAAAACATAGAATTTTTGGGAATTTGCTAGAAGGTACCATCGCAATGTTTGAGGGGTGGGATGGGTTTCAAAGCGGTCACTGTTCTTTCCCTCCATGAGATATATTGCTGCATTCTACCAAAGAATTTGTTATTAAAAAATCATTAATCATAGCAGTGGGTGGCAAAGGGTTGACGAGTGACTCACAACTATCAGTAGCCCACAATTACTATGTGACATGTGAATTTTACAGAAAGGAAAGGAAAGGTGAGATTTGAAGTTTTTCCTTCTAAATTTGTGACCTGTGAAATATTGGGTCCCAATTTTGGTTTCATGCCCCAATTTTAGAAAAAATTAATGGGTGAGAGGTGTTCAAAGTTCAACAAATTAACATGGGATTCAGAGAGAGCGGTTCGTAAAATGGAATAATTGTTTAGAATGAGAAATGTTGGCTTTTCTGTATTTTTAACATGTATTTTACCGCACTTTATGAGAAATGCGATATTGCTGGACATATGAAAGACATCAGATTACCTATAGTAAACGTGTTACTCATGCTAAGAAAATGGTGGATAGTTGTTCAAGAGAAAATGGAGTTCTCTGCACTGTAGCATGATCATGGTTATTGTTCCTTCATGAGGAGAGTGAGTGGAAAAATTTTAAATCAAATATTTCTTGAGGTTTTGATGAATTGCACCAAACATTTTGATTTGAGCAGTTCTTTAACAGCAAGCTGTGTTGCAAGATTCATGATTTGTTGAGAGTGCCAATTATATTTTTCTGGATTGGTTTGCTTGGCGCTATCTCTAGATGAATGTCTGATTAATATTAACTATGGACTATTTTCTGTGGCTCCTAGGTAGCTTTTTCGCCTCACGTGACATCGTGTCTGACTGATATGCAGTGTTAAGAGGTGTTATTATTGAACAATGATTTTTCTACGAAAGATGGCTGAGTTTCTCTTTGGTGGTTTGGTTGCAGTCAATTTCATGGTAAACATCATGGTGTGTTACTCTTGGATCGGGTCTTTCAATGTTAGAAGTCTGAACAATTGCGAGTGTGTTGCAAGGTGGATTTTATGTCATTATTGACTGTTGAGGGAATTTTTTTGGCTGTTTCGAGGGTAATTTTGAGAACACTGGACGAATGGAAATATTTTCGTTGCCTGGAGAGAGTGATCTTGTGGAGTCGTTTAGGTTTGGCCAAGGACGAATTCAGATACCATCGTTAGCTTGCTTATTTGATTCTGTTATCTGGAGTGCATGATTTGAAATGGTAATTGAACTGAGTAGAGTGCAATTTGGGATGAAATCATATGCATAATTTCAAAATCGAACAAGCGAGCAGCGCTAATTTGATTTGAAATCACAAGTATGACTTCAGACGAAAATTGCACAACACGAGATTCAATTACCACTTTATTACATCCATTTTGAAATCGCCCAAATACAGGACTTGGTCAGTTCAAATATTTTATTGATGCAGAACTGAGCCGGTTTGAAATTAAATTCATCCATTTTCTGGGGGGAAAAAAAAGGGGTTTGGGAAACAAAAGTTGCAAAATTTACTATATGATACTCTTTGTCTTTCATTTTCCTGCAATTTGATAGATTACTTCAAACAAGCCTTGAAATCTTATCGGTTGCTTTGTTTTTAGTGTAGCCTCCTTATTGGCTGGGAAAAAGATGCGATTTAAAGCAAACTGGACGCATATTTGTGTTCACTCAGGCTTTCTGTTGGAAAGAAACTTTGTTTTTTTCCGTGTGATAGCTGACAATAGCATTTGTTATGTAGTGTAAAGACCCTTTTCTGGGGTGGGGGGAATTAGTGCCTTACATTGATGGCTATTACTTCAATACTTGTTCCTCAACATTAATCTGAGTTTTGACTTGTAGTGGGGAACCATTTATCAAATAGCCTGTCCTTATGTTTTATTTTTCTTGGTTAACATTGACTGAGAAAGCTTTTAATTATAAACAAACCCAAGTGTTAGGGTGATGGCTATTAACCCATGCAAGATAACCAATTGCTTATTTTTCTAAATACCAAAAGAAAACAAAAAGTCACTACCAAAGCTTATTAGCAGATGAACTATTAATTTTATGGGGTTGTTAGAGTGGTTCTCATGAGCCTGTGAAATATACTCTAGCATATTTTGTACTATTACCCTCCAATTGATTTGTTTCCATTTGGAGTTACCAAAGAAAATATAAAGCTACAGCACAACTTAGATTAAAGTTTTGGGTTTCATTCACACTGTTTTGAGAAACCATCCTATTTTCAATATTCTCAATTTGTACTCCTCTCACTTCAAATATATCACTGTTGTGTATACTCTGAAAATAATGCACTTAGCTATCAAGGGACAATGCTTTGATAAGAACACACGTGTCTTGAGGCTGCCCTCAACCATACAAATCTCTAAAGAATAAAATAGTTTGAACCCTATGTTACTACAACAATAGATTGCGACAGCAATACACCTTATTGTTGCTATGAAATTGGTGTAGTTTTCAGATATGAGCGACTCAAAGGCTCTTTGTAAAAAGGTACAGTACTGATATCCCTCTACAGCAGTTTCTTGGTGAACAGTACCAGAGTAGTTTTCACTATATTCCAGTTGATAACCAACTGCATTTGATACATTTAATGCTTTTGATAGTTCTGACTGCTTTAAAAATGCCTGACTGGCTAATCATGACAAAGTTGAATAAAACTCATTTCCAATATTCATTATTTGTATAAGATCATTTGCTGAGCTGATCCCCTGTGTGTTATTGTAAATCAAAGAGCACAAACTCATTGCAACACATTTTTGGTAACTGACTCGTTACCTTGACTTTATGGAACTGCTATTGTTTTGTTAAGGTCTCCACTTAATTTGGAGTTGCAATAATTTGCTATATGAGCCTCACTCTTGCAAGAACACATCAGTTTGTTACAAGAAAACAATGTTAAATATCGACTGGCACGACATTTTACCTTTCTTTTACTTTGACGAATTCTTTCACGACAGTTAAACTTAAAAGTCCTTTTATTCAATAGTTTTTTTAACATTAACATAACAGTACAATGTAGATGACATGGGGATACACGAAAGAATACGTGCATAGACAAATTTTCTAACCTTTCTGCTCTTGTTCCTTAACCTTTTCAAATTTCGTATTGGTATTCTGCTTGGTTCACGATCACGTCTACATACACGATGAGATTTGTGTCTATGCTTCTCTCGATTAACATTACATAGCTCAGTTGATATAGCATGTTTCTCGATGAGAGGTTCACTCATAAATGTTCGCTCATAAAGAGATCTCTAATAAGGTTCGCGGACCGACCCGTTCCGAAAACGCTCAACATCTTTTAGTGTGGGTCCACCGCGAACGATGTGTGCATATTTTGTATGCGTTTTTAGCGTATTATACACAGTGTCTGTGCTGATTTTGCACCGCGAAATCTCCCCTTCATCTGCCATTAATCTATGTGCTTATTAGTCAAAACGTCGTGCGTGTGTCAGAGTCGAAAGATTGCGCATGCGTGATAAGGACTTGACTGCGATTTGCGACCGAACGAAAAAAAACAAACAAAACCGGAAGTTCAACTCGTTTCCTTTGGAAAGCCCTAGTAAAAATGATGTGATTCATGAATAAATCACACTAATTGCCAATCAGATTGCAGGGACCACCAGTGATTTCAAAATGGGTGTAATGAACGGAGCGGGGTGTAATGAACGATTTAAAGGAGCGTGGACGAAGTTAATATGCCAAGCCTCCAAACAAAGGCGCTGGTGGTAACGCCGATTAGTGGTGATAATTTTAGAACTATCCCACCCAATTGTATGGTTAGTTAGGCATGTGTGCTCTGATAAAGCTGAATTTTCCTTTTTGCAAAAGAAAACCGCTTTTTGATGCTCTTTTAAACGTGTACCAAACTGACGTTTGGTCTGTCCGATGTATTCGTTATCACAGTCATTGCAAGGAATAGAATAAATGGCGTCGGTTCGTTGCTCTTTCGTGACAGGATCCTTAGGTTTGTAACTGGTTTTTGGCAGTTACGGAGAAAGGTTTTTGTATAGCCATTTGCCTTAAGGACACTAGAAACATATTTCCTCTCCTCAGCCTTCGAATCGAGTGGAGATGGTAGACAGTCAGCCCTCCTAAGTAAAGTTTTGGCTACAGACTTTTTAGGGCAAATAGGGTGGTGAGAATCGAAAGCGAAGTATTTGTCGGTGTGAGTAGGTTTACGGTAGACACTTGTCTCTAAATTACCCTGAACCCCTCTGGACACATTTAAATCCAGAAAGGGCAAATGTCTATCCTTTTCACGCTCAAGGGTGAATTGGATCGACGGCTCCACTGAATGCAAGTGTCTCTCACGGCAGTTTCTAGAAGCAACTTTTTAGGTTGACACTTTCAAATAATGTTGTAAATATGATAATAACTTTGATAATAATAACTCTACTAACTTTTGATGTTTTATATTACTGTCGCAAAACCTACCGACTCTCTCGTAAGTCCATTTACGCCGAGATTCGCCATATCGGTTAATATTCGTAGAAGGAAGTGCAAAACAGTTTTGAGTCACAATACTCTTTTAGCTATTGAATTAGTAGTTGAATTCGCTAGACTTCACAGCTTGCTATGCATACCTGATAACAATAGTTCTAGATCTCATGATTTATTTCTTGTGGGAACAAACTGGGCCTTTGTTCTACATGACAAATAGTCAGTTCTGTTCATTATTTCACACATCAATGGTTCCTCAAGCACAAACCAGAAATAAGGTGCATGCGTTTACTGTAGCAACGTGGATGTTTATCGTAGAGTCTTCCCTTACTTTCAAGAATGTTGAAAATTCGAATAAATGAGTTTTCAACCGTTGCCATGTCAGACATAGTTTGATACTACTCTGGTTTTCATATTTAATGAATGTAACCGAAGAAGTTACAATTCACAGACCCAATGTTTCAACACTTCCTTTCCAGTGCCTTCATCAGAGGTGATCTAAACTCTGCAACAAGAGGTCCTTTACTACAATCACTAATTAGCTGCCTTTTTCCTGACGAGGTGTAAATAGGCATCAGGAAGTAAGCCGCCATCATCACGACTTAAAGGAGTGTGGGCAGAGTTAATATGCCAAGTTTCCAAACAAAGGCGCTGGTGGTAACGCCGATTGGTGGTGGTAATTTTAGACTTATCCCACCCAATTGTATGGTTAGTTAGGCATGTGTGCTCCGATAGAGCTGAATTTTCTTTTTGGCAAAAGAAAACCGCTTTTTGATGCTCTTTCAAACGTGTACCAAACTGACATTTGGTCTGTCCGAGGTATTCATTGTCACATTCATTGCAAGGAATAGAATAAATGGCGTCGGTTCGTTGTTCTTTCGTGACAGGATCCTTAGGTTTGGCAAAAATATGCCCCAAAGCCTGAAAAGGTTTTTGAGCAACTTCAACTTTGTGATTATTCAAATTCTCTTGATGGGTTCCGTAACACCGGTTCCATTACATTCATTAAATCTGAAAACCAGTGTAGCATCAAACTATGTCTGATTATCCACCTGGTTGCCATGTGAACTTTAATATGTTTGTCATGTCTTTAAAAATATTTCTCAGACTCAATTTTAATCGCAGATTTTGTCGCGCAGCGGTCGGTAGTTTGGGCTGTTCTTTGTTTTTGTCAAAGATAAGACCGCTGACACTATACTTTGCTCAAAATGAGTGCATAATGTAATCGTAATATTTTATAAAGTTCGGATATAACACGCCCTGTCATTGGTTGAAAGAGCGTGCACTATGAGAGTATAGAGCATAGAGCTGAGCTAAACAACACAGTATTATCGAGACACAACAAACTATTATCGTGATTATCGAAACACAACACAGTATTATCGAAACACCACACAATATATGCTCTAGCCGCTTCCTGCGTGCTTTATAACAGAACAGAGCACAGTCAAGGCTTCTCTATTTGTTAAATAGTATCAAATAACGACGAGATTCATCCTGGGCCAAGGGGTCGTCCGTCGAGTTCTGGTCAGTACGGTGGCCATATCTGCAAATACAACAAACAATTTCTGAAACACAACAAACACTTTTCCAAATACAACACAGTATTATCGAAACACAACAAACTATTATCGAAGCGCAACACAATATTATCGAGGTGGCACACCCTTCGTTTGGATTACGGAATAAAGGCTCCAAGAAGGAATTTTACAACAAGTTGACCCTTAAAGAACAGCCTTGCGAAATGCTTATGCACTAAGGAGAAGGTCGTAAACTAACCCAGGCCTGAATTTTGCTTGGCACGTTGAGGGCTGCGATAAGTTAAAGCCATACGGCTTTCCTACTCATGGTGCGGTGGACGGTTTCAGTCGTCGAGTCATGTGGTTGAAAATTTGCCCCTGGAATAATGACCCATGCCACTTAGCTTCATTGTTTTACGATTGGGTCAAATCAAATAGAGATTGCCCAAGAGTTCTTCGAACAGACTGTAGAACTGAAAATGTGACCATGGCGACCATGCAGTGTTATTTTCGAGGAAATGGTAACGACCACCAAGCTGGATTAAATGCACATAGGTACGGATCGTCCCCAGCAAACCAGCGCATAGAAGGATGGTGGTCATTTTATTGGCATGACAGATTAACATGGTTGATTAATTTTTTTTAAGACTCAGTTGAAACAAACATTGTCAATACCGCTAGTGAATCAAGTATGTCCTGTTTGTGGTTCTGTTGTAAAGATGTCTTGCAGGCAGACCTAGATCATGTAAGGGATAACTGGAACACCCATTACAATAAAAAATCACATCACGATACAATCCCAGGTAGGCCTGATGAGCTTTTCTACCTTCCAGAGAACAGTGGGTTTGAAGATTTCAGATGTCCCTTTACAGAACAACAACTTTATGATATGGCTTTGTACAGTGCAACAGACACAGAAGAAAACATTTTATGGAGTATTTTAATTATGCGCTGGAGAGTTTAAATTTACACTGTCCAACAAACTGGAGGGAGGCATTAACACTTTTCCAACGTTTAATTAAAGTTTCACAATAAGTCATTCTAGGACATTTTAGTACAATCCAGTGGTACCATGGTAAAGCAGCAGATTGAAATAATTTCCAGCAATTTTTCAGATGAAATGTTATGCATTTTATTCAGTACTTTAAGTGCAAACAAGATTGCAACATTGGTTGTACACAAAAGTACAACTTGTGATTACTCTGAGAGGGCATTTGTCTTTCTCAACAGATGCTCTACTCTTTAACATTTAGAAATGAGATGCAATATGGTAAAGTGGAACTTTACTTGTATCCATTTACTTCACTTAATTAGACAAGAACAAGAACGATACTGCAACCTTAGTTTTCAAAAGACTGAGGAAAGTGTTTTGAAACATCATTTACTATCCCCTAGTATTTATAAAATAATGCAAAGGTGACATTCTTATTCATTTGCATTTACCCTTTCAGTTAAACATGAACAAGAACAGTATTAAGACCATTTAATTTCAAAAGACTGGGGAAAGAGTTTTAAAACATCATGCATGTTCATATCCCCTGGTATTTGTAAATGCAAAGGTGATATCTTTTTTAAAGTCATCATATGTGTCATGCATCACTGGTAATAGCAACTGGCAGGAAAATGTATTGCTTTTGGTAACTTGGATTTTTCACCACATTGCTCAGGTGCATGAAGGAAGCCAATGTGCAGTTCTATACCACCTAGGGGAACTTCCCTAACTCCACTGATATAACAAAGAATATCTCTGAAAGTCAACTCTATTGTTTTTTCCTAAGCATCTTGTAAAAAAATCATTCCACTGCGACAACACTAGCCCTTCAAGTTGGCAATTATTTGAACCAGTTTCACTATAATGGACAGAAAAAAGACAACCAAATAATTCTGCAGTTAGTGTTACTTCAGAACAGCCAAAAAAACCCTTAAATTTCTCTTAATTTTCTGTCATAGCTTCAAGGACACCTAGTTAGGATAGCCCTCCTTTAAATTGCTCAAATACTGCATGGACCCTCTCAATTACAAACCAATGAGCGGTCAAGATTGTCAGATTGTCAGATTGTCAGATTGTCTTTGGTCCCCCTAAGTCAATTGCACCCTCAGAAGTTCCAGAATCATCAATAAACTAAAACTGGAACCTTGTCATCTGGAGAAAAAGATTTTCTTATAAGCCCCCTTAGAGCACCTTCCCAAAGATGACTATGTATGTTAAACTGGAATAATGTAAGCTTAAGCTTCCGAAAAAAATATCATAAAACGCATAAAATATCATTTTTCTTGGTCAGTGTTAAGGACTAATCAATCTGAAAGACTTTCCTAGAGTATGGGATTTTTTTTTAGAACGAAAATAGTTCCTAGGAAATCTAAACATTTTGGCAGATTTGTTCATATTAAGTAAAACTTTACCATTTTAACCTAGTGTAAGAAGTTCTTTTTTCAGTTTCCAGCCGAATATACACTGAGCTG